GGTGGATCACAAGGTCAAGAGATCGAGACCATCCTGGTCAACATGGTGAAACCCCGTCTCTACTAAAAATACAAAAATTAGCTGGGCGTGGTGGCACGCACCTGTAGTCCCACCTACTTGGGAAGCTGAGGCAGGAGAATTGCTTGAACCCAGGGGGCGGAGGTTGCGGTGAGCCGAGATCGTGCCATTGCACTACAGCCTGGGTAACAAGAGCCAAACTCCGTCTCAAAAAAAAAAAAAAAATTAACATTTTAGAAATATTGGTCTGAACCTTTTATAAAATAAATTACCTACCTTAATGAGTGACTTTTTAAAGTCACTATACATTGGACCCAAAGGCATATTTTATATTGGTGAAAATTAAATTTGGGAATGTAGTGTTATATTACTAAATTATAGTTCCAGTGCAGTGGAAGTACTACGCCTATTAAGAGGAAAAAAATCAGCATACGTTTTACTAAAAACAGCGATAGTTTATTTCACGTATAGTATATACATTGTCCTAAGTATCTCATATAAATCATCTAATTTTAATCTTTTGGTCAATCATAGAAGGTATCAAGTATTACCAACATTTACAGAGGAGAGAACTGAGCTACACAATTTGCCCAAGGTCACACAATGAAGGGGCAGAAGCAGAACTTGAACGCTGGTCTGTCTGACTTGAGCACTCATGTTATTTACCACTGTGTTGACCGACAAGTACATTAACTGTCTCTGAAAATTACTTGTGTGTGTTGGGGAGGCAGAATTTGGGATGGTTGTGGTTGCAGATAAAGTTGGGCTTAAGGCTAGTATGTGAAGGAATTGATTTTTTCCTTCAAGCAGATAATGTTGTCAGGCCATTAAGCAGAATTTCAAAGGATGAAAATTAGTTGCTTTTTCTGTCTTTATTCTAGAAAGCAAACAAAAGTACCCTATGAACAAAGCAAACAGATAGTCCGCTACAGATTTCTGAGCAAGTTCTACCCTGTAGGAGTAGTTTAAAATATATCTTTAACAGTGGATTGGCCAGGCATGGTGGCTCACACTTGTAATCTCAGCACTTTGGGAGGCTGAGGCGAGTGGATCACTTAAGTCCAGGAGTTTGAGACAAGTCTGGGCAACATAGCAAGACCCTGTTTCTAAAAAAAAAAAAAATACAAAAACTATCCAGGTAGCTGGGCATGCTGGCACACACCTATGGTCCCAGCTATTCAGGAGACTGAGGTGAGAGGATTTGCTTGAGTCGGGGAGGCAGAGGCTGCAATGAGATGTTATCATGTCACTGCACTCCAGCCTGACAACAGGGAGACCCTGTCTTTTTTTTTTTTTTTCTTCTCCTTGTGACGGAATCTCACTCTGTCACCTAGGCTGGAGTGCAGTGGCAAGATTTCGGCTCACTGCAACCTCCGCCTCGCGGGTTCAAGCGATTCTCCTGCCTCAGCCTCCCAAGTAGCTGGGACTACAGGTGCCTGCCACCACACCCAGCTGTTTTGTATTTTTAATAGAGACGTGGTTTCACTATGATGGCCAGGCTGGTCTTGAACTCCTGGCCTTGTGATCTGCCTGCCTCGGCCTCCTAAAGTGCTATGATTGCAGGCATGAGCCACCACGCCTGGCCAAGAGACCTTGTCTTAAAATTAAAAGAAAAAAAAAATGGAGAAGTTGGCTGGGTACAGTGGTTTACACCTGTAAACCTGTAATCCTGGCACTTTGGGAGTATGAAGTAGGAGGTGCTTGAGCCCAAGGAGTTCAAGACCAGCCTGGGCAACAAAGCTAGACCCTGTCTCTAATTATAAAAATCAGCTGGGCATAGTGGTACACAGCTGTAGTTCCAGCTACTCAGAAATCTGAGGCGGGAAGATTGCCTGAGCCCAGGAGCACAGGAGCTCAAGGCTGCAGTGAATTGTGATTGAGCCCTGCACCCCAGCCTGGGCAACAGAGCAAGGCCCCATCTCTTTAAAAAAAA